AGCTGGCAGGGTGGTGGCCAGGCCAGGCCACGCAGGCCCTGGTCTGAACCGGGCTTTGGGAAGGTCTCGGTGGCTGCCATGGAAGAGGCAGCAGGAGGCCAGGAGCTGCAGTGTGGAGGGCTGGGGTGGCTGGGTGAGGTGGCAGCCGTGGCTCTGGGGTCCCGGCCCGGGCTGTGGGGTGGCAGGTGGTTCCCGGGAAGACAGAGGAGGCAGAATGTCTCTGGGGAAGGGAAAGGGGAGGGGCCTGGATTCGTGGCCCATCTTCCTCCCGAGTCTCCGTGGCCAGGCCAGCGGAGCCTGTGCCAGCTGCAGGGGCCACCAGCCCAGAAACAGCCTGTGTAACCTGGGCACCGTCTTTCTCTTCTGAGAGTCCACAGCTGTTATCAGAGTCCCACGGGAGCCCTGGACACACCCACACGCACAGCCCCCTGCTCCGTGGGCCCCTGCACCGCCCTCTCCCCTCGCACAGCTCAACTTGCCCCCATCCTCTGAACACACCTGCCGCTTCCAGGGCTTGGGATCTGCGCCCGGCTGCTGGCATGGCTCAGGTTTCTCACTGTGGAACGGGTCATGAAGGCCTGTGTGGCTTAAGTGAGAAGAGCTAGGAAGGGCCTTGGTGGCACACCTGTGTGAGCAGGACCATGAGTGGCATTCACTGTTTCACAGGTGGCCGCTCGACAGGAGCTGAGTTTGGGGAGAGGCCAGGGCAGCTTCGAGGCACAGTGCACGAACGTGGGGGGCTTTGCCACCAGGACAGAGGACAGAACCGCCTGGGAGTCGACAGGACGCCGTGTCTCCTTCACCCCTCACCTGAGGCCTCACCAAGGCCACACGGATGCCACCTCTCCCTGCCCTGACCAGCCTCACACGGGGAGGTAGCTTTGCTCCGTCACCTTGAGAAGGGTCGCACGTTCCCAAGAGCTCAAGAACAAATCTGGCTCTTGTGACAAGGAACCGCCCACGGCTGAAACAGCTGGAATCCCAGCTCCTGTCCCTCCCGTGGCTCTTACCAGGAGGTTGCCCACGCTGGCTGGGGGGACAGGCCCAAGGTGCGGAGCACAAGGGCCCCTGTCCCTCTGCAGGACGAGCCATCCTGGGTCTGGCAGCCACACTGGGCCAACACCAGTCTTCCTCCAGGCCCATGGGGAGTCCTCATGGTGGCTGTGACCAGGTGTAGCAGCAGCGGTGACAACGGCTCTTAGGTTGTCGGGTCTGTACCCAGGAGCCAGCCACCCCATCCAGGGGCTTGGCTGCACAGGGGCTGGTCTGCTGGGGGGATCTTACTGTGTGTCCGGCATGCGGCTGGGGGTGCGGCCAGGGCTGTGCCTCCTCTGCCCGCAGTGACTGAGGCAGCTTACCCAGGAGAGGGGAACAGTGGCCCCCCAGAAGCCCCTGGAATCGGCAGCAGAAGCAGAGATGGCAGAAACCCAGGCTGGCGGGCAGCTGGACCACAGCCTGGCTTCCCCAAGAACAGACTGGGCACTGGGGCTGGCACGGGTGCCACCAGATGTGCACACTTAGCCTTTTCTCCTGGCCCAGAATCCAAAAGCCAGGTGGAAGCATCTTATTGGCTGAGCCAGGCATGTGCCCACCTGGCTGCTAAGATCTGGGGAGGTGGGGAAGAGGACAGGAGGTGAACAGAAGCCCAGGGTCCTTTCGGGATCCACAGGCTGGCACCCTCCGTCCTGGTGAGCTCTATGCAGTGACCTGCTTCCTCCCTGGTGATAGAGATCGTGTGGCCAAGTCAGGGGTCAAATTGGGTGAGTTTTCTGTGATGCTTTTTCCCGAGGCACAGCCCCTCCCATCACCCCATGAGGAACAGTGGGTGTTCTGGAGAGGGGCCATGCCTTTGGGGGTCTTCCTTACAGGATCCTCTGTCTAGTGGGCGTTAGGTGCCTACTCCCTGAGGGCGTCCCTGCCTCCAAGTACGTCATAAGTGACCTGGCCTTGGAGTTTTGTTATAGCAGCACAACACAGACTAAGACCCTTCTCATCTCAACACCTGCTCTGGAAAGGTCTCCCCTGAGCTGGGCACAGGGCAGGCCCTCCATGACAGCCTGAACCACTTTCCTGTCCCTCAGCCCAGCATCCAGCTGAGGATGGCACTCGAGTGTGTCATCGTGAAGATGAGGAACCAGACTCGGAGTCCAGACCAAGGGGCCGTGGGAGGGGCTTTGCCGGTGCCTCCAACACCCTGGGAGCCCAGCGAGGTGAGCCACATGCACCCTTCGGGGCCAGAAAGCAAACAGCAAGGGAGTGGACGTCACTAGTCACACGCATGGTTTCTGGTGGTTTGACTCAGCCCCAAAGACATCTGCGAAGCCACGTCGGTCTGAGCTCAAATGCCAGCTTCTTGCCTGGTGCCCTCGCGGGTGTCGCCGCCCATCCAAGCTCACGGCTGCAGGTGACAGATGCCTCACACTGCCCACAAGCACAGCTGCGTGAATCAGGGCCTGGGGGAGTCGGGATGGGACCAGAATATCTTGGTATTTAGGAACGGGAGAAAGGACACGAGGGGAGAGGGAGCCCGCGGCTCTGTGCCCGGCCACAGCTATTTAGGTACTGTCCCCCCGTCCCATTAACCCCTCGAAATTGGCCATGAAAGGTCCTGCTGGGTGACGGTCAGCGAGCACAGCAGTGGTTCCCAGGAGCAAGAGGGGGGACACTCTGGGTAGCACCTCTGGGAGAATGAAATCCAGAGGGAACATGTGGTCCTGGGCCCTGGGTGTGGTCTGGGGGACCGTGTGGTGGGGGCCGGGAAGGTTCCAGGAAGCAGCTGCTGGTCCTGGACACCACCAGCCCTGCTCCTCCACCTGCTCCTCTGTGAGGAGAGTGGGCCCCCAGGGAGGCTCGCCTGTGCCACCCACGACCGGGGCACCTCCCTCCTGCCACTTCAAGGTGGCCTTGGAGGAGGTTCCGAGGGGCCAGAGTGGGCAGCAGAGGTGGGTGACAGGAGCAGGTGTTCAGAGCCCCTGGGGGGCAGCGCCTGACCAGGCTTGCCATCCTTGCTCATGACCCACCACACTGACCTTCCTAAATCCCAGAGCTGACCGTGTCAATCCCAGGGCGGACTCAGGAATAAGGTCCCGTTCTTGTCTCTGAATTCCCCCCACCCCGCCATCTGGGGCCAGTTTCCTTCCCTGTCCAAGAAGTGAAGGGCCAGGGGGGTGGGCTCTGCAGGGTGCACGCCAACTATGGCTGGAGCCCAGCGGGAACTCCAGCTCCCTGATTCAGTGAATAGGTACAGGCCACCCGCCCCCCGGGGTGGGGCCCTGCTGTCCCCGCCTTTCAGTCTGGGGAGATGGCAAGACCACGATGTGGGCTGGCAATGAGGGGGTGGGTGCTCTGAAGGTGTCAGAAGGTGGGGGGGGGGGAACGGGACACTGAAGCCCAGAGCTCAGGGCCGGGAAGAGCAGGCCAGCTGAAGGGAGCCACCAAAGCAGGGGAGCTGGGCCGGGTGTGGCTGGAGCGGAGCGTCTGAAGGCTGAGGTGGGCCAGTGAGGGAGGCGGGGAGGGGCAGGAGGCGGCTGTGCCTTCAGGGAGGTGAGCTGCCAATCAGGCCTCCTGCTCCTGAGCAGCGCCTCTGGGCAGCAGGGCTGGTGCCGAGAGGCTCCGTGCCCAGTGTCCATGGCCTGCCTGGGAGCAGCGCAGACACCCTGTTCCTTTCTGTGAAGGCTCCAGGGCTCGGGTGAATCCGGGGCTGCACCGACAGACAGCAGGAGAGGGTGGCTAGTCCTGGGGCTGGCCCCCCCCACCCCGGGAGACCAGAGCATCGGGCTCGTTTCCCTCCCTCCCACTCTGAGAGCTCTCCTGCGGCAGTCTCGGGAAGAGTCCAGGGACTCTCACACGCCCCACCTGTGTGCACCAACCACCGGCAGCTGGCCACGCCCTAACACGCTCCCTCCATGTGGCACAATGCTGTCACCGTCCCCGAGCACACCACACTGACGCCCTGGACGCAACGTCCAGTCCTCATCCCAAACTCTGCAGCACCCGGAGGACTCGGGGGCCCCTCCCTGGTGACTCTGATTGTCCCATGAGTACTTATGGAATGCTTGCTGTTGGCCGTGCCCTGTTCTAGGCTCTCAGGAGCAGTGAGAAGATGAACTAGATCCCCACAGGGACCGCCTGCCTGTGGGGGTGAGCATGCAGCAGAGAACAAGCAGAATGACTTCAGAGTGCCAGGGGTGGCCAAGCACCCACACTGAGCCACATCACAGAGTGACAGGCTGGGAGGTGACTTGAGCTGGGACTTGGATGACAGAAGCTGGCCTTGCTCCTTGGCAGGTGTCCGAGCTGCAGCAGGAGGGAGGGAGGGGTGGCATTTGCTGTGGCTGTCCCACACCTAACCTGCTAAGCGCTGGGCCTGGGGGTGGTTCCTGGTTCCTGGCTGGCAGTTCAGTGGGAAGGACCTTAACTGGAGGGCTGCACTTGGGGAACTCCCATGGGCTCCTCCCGGGTGCCAGATCCTGGATGCCATGCTCCCGTGGTGGGGATTTTTGAGGGCTATTTTTTGGGGGGAGACATGGAAAGCATTTGTGACCAGAGGGCAGACTGATAACTTGAAATATGCCCATAAACTCTTGGGCACAAATGGTGGAGCCCCGTCCCTCTCTCCCTGCATGGGGGCCAGACAGGGATTCACTTCTCACAAGGAGGAAGCCCTGCTAGGCAAGGCGAGGTCATAAAGGCACCGCGGCCCTGTGGACAGACGGACAGACTGTGGCTGGAGCAGTGTTTGAGGTGGGGACTGGTGGGGAATGAGGCCTCCTACTGGCAGCCACATGGGTGCGCCATCTTGGAATGGCCCTGCAGCCCCAGGGAGCTCTGGCTGGCAGATCTAACACTCTGACTGCAACCTCCTGAGACTCTCAAGCAGAATCACTCAACTAAGAGGCGGGGAGCCCCTGATCCACAGAAACTGGGAGGTAGGCTTGTTCTAAACCGCTGAGTTTAGAAGTAATCTGTTACCAGTAATAGATAACTAATGCTGAGTCTCGTTTTTATACAGGTCCTGGAAACAGGGGGATCTGTTTAAAATCTGTTTAATTTTGTTTAAAAACAAATAAAAAGGACTTCTGGCCACGATATGTGTTAAGAGACAGGTGAAATGTCATACAAAATCTGGTTTCTTAGATATTTGTCTTCAAATACACTCACCAAATGACAGAAGCACGGGGTGGGCCGGGGGCGGGGAAGTCCTCGGCAGGCTGCAGTGTGTAAGGCAGGGACGCAGTGCAGGGGGGCAAGAGCCACAGGGCCTGGGGTTAAAGAAGTAGAGTTGTTTGCTGGACTTGATGGCTTCATCAGCGATCGATGCTGTTCACGGGCAGGAGTTGCAGGAGTGGTGAGTCCAGATGAAAAATGCATGAAGGGCCAGGGAGCTGGGGGCAGGAGGGAGAGAGCCAGGTGGCCCTGTTTGTCCAACACTGGCCACGAAATTAGATCACAGCGGGGGAGAGGTGACTGCAGCATAGAGCACCTGCACTTGTGCAGCCACTTTCTCCCCACGAGGCAGAAATGGGCTGATTCCTTCTTCTCCTGACTGAAAATGAATCAGCAGCCTTTAGCAGTGTTGAACACCAGGAGACACGGAGGGTGCATGGCTCTCCAAAGAGGCTGGCGGAATCGGGGTGGGGCAATTGGGGGAAGAGGAGGAGAGCCACCGACACTGGCTGGGCTTGAGTGCATCTCTGATGAGCACGCTCAGGAACAGAAAAAGGGGCATTGATTGGAAGTCCCATTATCTCTTCTGTAAGGAGAGAGAATCAGGAAAGCAAGATTGTATCGTGGATCATCTTTAAAGTCCATTTCCATCCAATATCCTTGTGTCCATTAGGATCAAATCAGCTGTGAGTGACAAAACCCAGAACAACAGTGGCTTAAAGATCTGTTTTCTCTCACATAGCAGAAGACAAGGACTAGGGTCAAAGTCGTCAGAGAGCCAGGTTCTTCCTATTTTCCGGTTCTGCATTCTTCTGCATATAGCTTCTATCTCAAGGTCCAGGTTGGTTGCTGAGTGCCAGCCATCACATCTGCCCTTCAGCTGGCAAAGAGGAGGAAGGGGCAGAAAGGGTCTCCCTCCTCCTACCACCACCCTACTAAGGATACCTCCTGAAGTTGTGCAAAAGTGGAGACCTCAGCAGCTGCTCCTCATTCATTATAAAGGGCTAGGATATGAAGTGTTTACCCAGCAGCTCTGCTAGGAAAGAGGCGTGGACGTGTGGACACTGGAAAGGGACCAGCGCTCCCTGCTGGGTCCCCGAGATGGAGCACACTCAGCTCAGACCCAAACTGCATCTTAGGTCAAAGTAAGACCTGACGGAGCCAGCGCAGGGGAGGGAGGGGAGGCTGACCATGGAAGGGATGTGGAACCCTTAGAAGGGACATGCAGGGGCAGAGGGTTGAAAGTACTTGGAGCTGGTGGTGGAAATGGTGGCATCTAAGTGTGAAAATGGAAAACCTTCTCCAGGCAGAAAACTGCAGCTTGTTGCCCCCACGTGGCCTCCCACTGCCCCGCCCCGCCCACGTGCTAAAGCCCTGTGGTTGGACCCAGGGCCCGGCTGGGGGGGCGGGATTTGCAGAGTTCAACCCTCAACCCCCCATGGACCACGAACAAGCTCTAGGAACACACTGGGTTCCCCTACCCAGCTGCCATGTGCCTAGGACCTAGGGGTGGGGCCAGCCAGCCCCTGAGCGAAGCTGAGCCCAGACTTGTTTCCAGGGGCTGGTACCGAGACGCCTCTCACAGGGTGCTGTGAGGACCGAGTCGGCTGTGGGACGGCAGGCCACACGAGGAGGAAAGGAGGCCAGCCCCGTTCTGCTTTCCTACCACGTCCATCCCCTTCTTCTTTATTTAAAATTTTTTTTAAATGTTGATGGACCTTTATTTTATTCCTTTATTTTTATGTGGTGCCGAGAATTGAACCCAGTCCCTCACACATGCTAGGCAAGCGCTCTACCACTGGGCCCAGCCCCAGCCCCCACATCCATCCTTTCTTAACACTCCTCTTATCCAGGGACTGGGCCTCTGTGCCCCTCTCTTGAATTTGGGCCAAGCACAATGGTGGCTGTCCATGGGATATGACAGAGTGAGGCCATGTGACACCAAGGCACACTGGACAAGAGCTTGGGACCCAGCACCATACCGTGGGGAAGCCCAAGCAGCCTGAGGAGGGTCCACATGGGACAACCCAAGGCCCTGTCCTGGCTGACAGCCCCCCGGGGGTCAGCTTGAGGCAGACCCTCCTGCCCTGGATGAGCCCCCCAGGTAATTACTGCCTTGGAGCTGAGGCCTGTGAGCCCTCTCTGCTCAGCCCTGTCCAGACTGGGGATCGATAAGCAAAAGCCATGGCCGCTGTGAATTTGAGAAACTACTCTGTCACACACACACTCACACACACACACACACACCAATCCTTTTAGCTTTAAGTCTTTTTGTTTCCAAAAGGGTTACAAAGATAAGGGTTTCTACACCCCACCCATTTCCTCTAAGAAAGTAGCAGTGGTGCCCTGCCACCACCCAGCGCCAGGCTCATCTAGTTTGGCCATTTCTCTGCCTCTGTTTTCCATCCCAGGATTCCACCCGGCACGTGCTGCCCTTAGTTGTGTCCTTGGTCCCCTTGCATCATCCCAGCACCCATCTATCCTTGGTCTTTCATGACCTGGACACTCTGTGAAGAGCACTGGGCAGGCATTTTGGAGTCGGCAAGGTGGCATCTACTGGTGTCCACTTGTGAGTTGCTATTCCCCTTTTCCATCTTTTCATTAAAAGGTCACCAAGTTGGGCATGGTGGCTACACCTGTGATTGCAGTGACTTGGGAGGCCGAGGCAGGAGGATCACAACCCAGGGGGAGAGAGCTGGCTGGGCTAAGAAGACAACAGTTTTAAAGCAAATTTAAGGAAAATGCAAAGGAGTCAAAACTTGTTGGGTTTGAAAATAAAAACATTCCCCCCAGTTCTCCAGTTCTCAGCTTCTCTACATGGCAAAAAAAAAAAAAAAAAAAAAAAAGTCTCAAATTAAGAAATGGGCTCTGAGCAAGATCACACCCAGGAGAGGAACACAAGCCCCTTTGGAGATCCCTGAAGCACCACCTCTCATGCTTAAGATCAATCAATTTGCTGCCTTTTAGCTCAAATTCACCCTTCATGGCCTACTCTGTGAAACGGATCTGGGCCTTTCAATGTCTTCTTTTGCCTGCAGGCACAACGCTGAGCTGGTCACTAGACATTGCAGGAAAGGGATTTCCCTTCCCCACCCTGGCCAGGCCACACTCAGGGGTGAGCTAGACTCCTGAAGAGGGAGGCTCCCCCTTCCAGGTTCCAGCAGCACCTGGCTCTCTTCAAGGTCAGTGGAAACCAGTGGCTACTTTTCTCTTAGCACTCAGCAAGATATAAGCACGTCTTCGGCTGGGGTGGTTCAAACGCCCACCCCTGAGCCAATCAGTGGCATGTGCGTGCGTGTGTGTGTGTGTGTGTGGGGGGGGAGGATCTGGTACTGGGACTGTTTAGTAGTCTCACTCTTGTCCAGGATGGACAGGAGGCCAAGGGAGTGCTCCTGCTCTATCCTGGGAAGGGGGACACTGCGAAGACATCTCGATTCTTTTGACCACATGCCCACGGGGTAGTCACACATGGCTTGAGGCAGGATGTCATTCCTGGTGCAAGACCAGCAGCCTTGAATGAGCCCCAAAGTGTCAATAGTCCCCACTGTGGCGCCTGTGTTGTGCTGGCTTCTGGGGCAAAGGGGAACCAGGTCCTTAGAAGTGTCAGGAGTCAGTTCCAGTCCCCAGAGGTGCCCCTGTGGGAAAACTCCTGGCCTTGTCCACTCTGTTCCTCTTGCCAGTTGCTGGTTCATCCTTTGGCCGGGAATAAAGCTTCTAGACACCATCTCCACCCGTGACTGCTCAGAGCACCCGTCAGTGTCCCCAGGTGGCCATCACCTGATGCATGTCTGCTGCACCTGTCGCGGGCTCTCTAAGGGTCCTCGGCAGCATTAAGTGAGTGGGAACCTCCCAACCCCAGGGCGAAGGCCCTGCGTGCAACAATGTGAGCGAGGACCGACAGGTTGTGTCTGTAGGGAGTAAGAGCAAACACGGGCATGGGCTTGGATCTCTGGGACCGTGGCTTTTGCCACAGTAGCCCTGGTGAGTGCTGCCAGGAAACCTCTAGGTGTCCAACAGGCAGGAAGCACGTCTCTTCCCTTCTTTTCCCACAGCCAGACCTGGTTTCCAGGGGCTCTCCCTGGTGCCTCTGGGCAGTGGCCATCAGGGGCTGAGGACTGTTGAACAGCATCACGTGGCCAGCCATTCACAGCCGTGGAGCCCACAGCCAGGACAAGGACGCTGTCACCATGCGGTCAGCTGGCTTGTTGCCCGTATAACCCTAACCATAACCATTCCTTGTCTGTGACCCAGGGTTTTCAGAGAAGCCGAGAACTAGCTGCCTCCTCCCTCAGCAGACCCCTGCTCCTTCATGCTCAGAAGTTCCCATGGACTTTGCTGGTTTGCAAACTAATGGGAAAAAAAGGACAAGAACGAGTTAGCCACGGCCTCTGGTGAGCATTGATTTGACCAACTACCCTTGGGAATCAGAGGCCAGGCCTGTTAGCTCTAGGGGTGTCGAGTGCAGTGTCGATAACAGAGGGCTGCCAGGAAAGGGGCACTCAGGGCAGCAGGGTGCAGCCATGCACAGAAATGCTGGTGGGCCACGGGAGGCCACACTCCTCCTACACATCGCCGTGGGGTCTGCGAGGAGATGCCCAGGCCCACAGCCACGGCTGTCATGGCGCCTGTGCAGGGAGGCCACTGATCTCCAGGTGTTTCCTCTGGATCTTTCCCTTAGAGTGGGTGAGGGGACGGGGTGTCACCCAGGCCACCATGGAGGATGGAACAGGTCCCACATGAATGACCGTGTCCCTAGGGTATCCATGCTTATGCCTGCAATGCAGCGTCTCAATCAGGGTGGCTTCGCTTTTTGGTCCTCTACACTTCTGATAGGGACATTATCCCCCTGGCATCTAGTAAACTGTAGGTGTGTAATAAACACTTGATGTGTAAATACCTGGGTGGTTGTTCCCGGGAGGCCTGCAGTGGAGGGCGACTCACCAGCCGGACTCACGACGGAGAATCCACACTCAGAGGGACCATGGGACTGGCCCAGGGCCCCTGTCCGGCAGCAGCGCAGACCTCTGAGCCTGACTTCTTATTCTATCTGATGGCACATATTCATTAAGTGCCTACTGTGTGCAAGGGCATAGGGCAGGCTCTAAGGCGGCCACAGCCCCTGCCCTCATCACTGACACTCCTGTGGGGGAGGCAGAGGCCAGGTGAACACACCCGGCAGCCATGGGGTGGGGATGGCGGCAGCGGTGCACAGGAGAGCAGGAAAGAGGGCCCGGGGACAGGAGTGCTGAAGGCCACAGGGAGGCTGCTCTTCCTGGAGGAGGGGCTCCCTGGGAGCAGGTTCCAGGCAGAGGACGGCGACCCAGAGGTGGACATGGCAGTGGGGGACAGAGGCAAGGGAGACCTGTACCCTGCACGTCGCATGCCTTCTTCCCCAGGTGGATCCAGCCATGCAGCTGCCCTGACCACCCACTTGTGACAAGGACAGCAACAGCTCCCTGCAGCCCCTCGCTCCTTCCCAGAGCATGGCTGCCCGGGACCCTGGCTGACGTGCGGAGCCAGCCTGCTGCAGCAAGCTCCTGCATCTGTGTGGAGGGGGCTGCTTTCATTCTGACACTGAAGTCAAGTGTCACCCAAGGAGTCTGGGCCATGGAAACTATGCTGACTGAGGAGGGTTGGTCCTGGTGACCTGGGGTCTCTAGGCCCAGGCCATCCTGACTGTCCAGTCACAGCTGAACTGGAGGGTATCTACGGTCAGGAGAGGGAGGAGAGAGAACGGCTTCCTCACAGAAGAGCAACCTCGTCAAGACTGAACACACCTGCTCCGTGAAAGACCTGTTAAGACAATGAAAAGACAAACCACACAGGGAGAAAATGTTTACAGCCCATGCCCCTGACGTAGGAATTGCACCTAGAAGAGAGAGGTCCCAAAACCAACAAGGAAAAGAAGGCTGGAAAATGGGCAAAAGATGCAAGGCATCTCATCACACAGATGGCAGATAAGCACAGGGGACCATCAGCACCGTCTGCCAGCAGGGAAAAGCCAATAAGACACAAGGCTGGGTGCCCTGGGTAACATGGCCGAGGCAGGAGGATTGCAAGTTTGAGGCAGCCTTGGCAACTTATGAGACCCTGTCTCAAAATGAAAATAAAATAAAAGGGCTGGGGATGTGGCTCAGTGGTCGAGTGTCCTGGGTTCCATCTTCAGTACCACAAACAATAAAATGTACAAATCAACGAATGTCACTATTCGCCTATCCGAATGTCTGCAGTAAGCAGAGACAGTACTAATGCTGGCGAAGGCGTGGAAAGACAGGGCTTCACTGACAGCAGGGGCAAGGTCAACTGGCACAGCCACCTGGGAGCTTCTTTTATGTGTTTCTCCCTGTGCTGGGGATGGAACCCAGGGCCTCGCGTGCCAGAGGAGCCCACCACCACCACCACCACCACCACCACCACTGAGCCACACCCCAGCCCCTGGCCGTTCCTTTTGAAATTAAAAATGAACTTACCTCATGACCCAACAATTATATGCATGGGCACACATCCCACAGAAAGGAAAGCTTATTTTCTTGCAGAGGCTAGTACACAAGGCTCAGCAGCTTCTTTGGAATGGCCCCAATTTAGGACCACCCAGATATCCCCCAAAGGGTTAAGCAGCGTGGTACATACACACTGCGGAGTATTACTTGGCAACAAAAAAGACTGACGACACAAGGCACCACTTGGGTGATCCTCAAGGAAATGGCGCTGTCAGCTAACAGCCGTTCTCAGTTGGTAGGCGCTTCCCAGCAGCCCTTGCTGCCAGGCCCTGGGCTTTTGTTAACGAAACGCAGAGGAATTGTTGCCTGCCGGGACGGGGTCTGACACTCAAAATGCTGGCATATGATCCCCGTGTGCCTTTCCCTTTCTGCAAACTGGGAATGTGTCAGTTATGGGTCAGACATGAGGTGTTCCTCAGAGACCCGTGGGAGACGATCAAGAAGGGCTAGAGGTGGGCTGGGGATGTGGCTCAAGCGGTAGCGCGCTCGCCTGGCATGCGTGCGGCCCGAGTTCGATCCTCAGCACCACATACCAACAAAGATGTTGTGTCCACCAAGAACTAAAAAAATAAATATTAAAAATTAAAAAAAAAAAAAAAAAAAAAAAAAAAAAAAAAGAAGGGCTAGAGGTGACATGATTGGGTTATGGGAGCCTAATGGGGGACGATCCATTAGTATGGACCAACTGGATGATAACTGTCGGCAGGTAGGGTGTGGCCGGAGGAGGGTGTCACTGGAGATGTGCCTTTGGGGCTCGTGTTTTGTCCCTGGTGAATGGCGTTCTCTCGGCTCTCATCGGCCTGACTGCCTGCCTCCACCACCACCTTCCGCCGTGTGTGGCCTCATCTCAGCCAGAGCCGCGGAGCCGACCTTCTAAGGACTGAGGCCTCCGAAACCCTGAGTGCCAGGTAAACTTATCCTCTTCTAACACCGTTCTTGTGGGGTCTTTTGGTCACGGCGGTGAAAAGGCTGACTAAAACAGTGACAACTGCCACAATGCAGACCACGTCCTAAGAGAGAGCCCAGGAACCCTGAGTGACTCGGAGTGTAACTGTCCGCGCTGCTTGGAGCGCTTCTCTTCTCTTCCGGGATGGGGGGCGGAAGCCAGAGTCTCCTGTCGCTAGGCAAGCTGAGCTCTGTCCCCACCCTGGAGGTGAAGGGGAGACAGCGTCTGTGGCCTCTGAGCCACCGTAGTTGTGGGCCGTGCCACAGCAGCTTGGCCTTTGCTCAGGGGCAAGGCAGGTTTCAGAAGAGCACGTGCATGACCTCCTTTTCTGCCACACCTAGGCCTGGAAAGATGCGCCCCAAGGCTCTAGCGGTCACCTACCACGTGGGGGTCACAGGTTTTTTTTTGCCTTTTCACGGTACCTAATTTTCTATAAAAGGAACACATGGATTCCTTAATTAAGGAAGCAAGACCATGACTGAGACTGAGACAGAGCCAAGGACACGTGAGTGACGTGTTGTCGACAAGACATCCCAGCCTGGGGTGCCTCCTCCCCTCCTCTCCACCCCACCTACCTGTGCCAGGTCACTCCCTGCGCCTTGTCCTCGCCTTCCTGAGGGATGGTCCATGGTCTTTACCAAGCAGGCAGGGGCAGGCCTGCCTGCTCCCCGGGCACCACACTCCAGCGCACACTGCCCTGGGGGACAGCCAGCCTGGCTGGAATTTCAAACTCAATTAGCACAGAGAGGCCGGAGCTTTCTGGAGTAACTAATCATCTCCAAGCTGCCAAGACGGTGCTCTCCCTGGGATGTGCTCGTGAACTTTAAGGTTGAGCTCTTCAGGTACTAATGACAGGGAACAGCCGCTCCCAACTTAAAATTCAACTGGAAAGCGAGTTTCTGAGATCCTTTCCTCTATTTGGGACACAGGGAGGGCTGGTGGAGACTGGGACAGGGCCCGCCCGTTCTGGCGCCTGAAGCCCAGTCAGTCCCTGGGCACAAGGACGGCTTGTGCAGCCCCTCCCTTCTGGCTCTCTTCCTCATGCACCGTGTGGCCTTGACCATGCTCCACCCACAGAACGGCCCAGCAGGCCGCTGCACTGGGAGTGGACAGGCGCGGAAAGCTGACCCGCCCTTGCTGCCAGGCCACAGCCACCAGCCACCCTGCCTCTCCCTGGTCTAATGGCTGGACGGACGATGCCTCCTGGATGGTGGGCAGGGGTTCTGGATCTTCTGAGAATCCTGGTGGCTAAAGCTGTCCTTCTTTCGATGGGGATGACCTTCAAAGGCTCTCGATTTAGCATCAGGCCCACTCTCTGACACTCCGAGTGCAATGGCGAGTTTGTGCATAAACACTGAAAGATCACCGTTTCATGCCGCCCGTGGTGTGAAGTGTGAAAACATCACTCGATACCAAAAGGCCGATTCCTAACTTAGTTCAGGGAGAGTCTGGACGACCTTTCACAGGCAGCGTGTTCTGTTCCGTCAGCTCCTGACGGGTGCCTGGGCGACTCACGGCACCCCGGACAGCAGAAAGCACGGGCAAAGCAGCGCTGTCCGGGGAAGCCTCGCTGCAGAGGAGTCCTGACCACACTTGGGGCTCACACCCGGCATGGCAGGGCTGGTCGCTCTGATGGAGAGGACATGCAGGTAGGTGACACGTGTGAAGCACCTGGCAGAGTGGATGCTGAGCTTAGGGTCATAATTAAGTCACTCTTGAGTACCTGTAGACCTGGCCTGGAGGTCCCCTTGGACAGTCCAAATCATGTTCTGGCTCCATCACCACTGCACCCATGGTGGACCTGTTCCTTTCAGTGAGAGGAACTCAGTGACTGTCCGCATGGCAGGAACCTCCCGGCCTCCCTCACAGCCCACCCTCTTGGAACTGTTCCCAACACCCTTTCAGGTGCAGTCTGTCCTGTTTCCATGGCTGACACACAAAGCAGGCATGTCCGTCTCTGTGAGCACAAGCAGGCAGGATTGGCCAGCCTGGATCTCGAGTACACTGCCTTGGAGACTCTCTCTCAGGACCGAGCAATGGGAATAGAAGAGACAGAAAGGCCTCAAAGGTTAAATGGTCTGACTCGTGTCCCCAGCCCCCTTTTAAGTGAGGGAATGTTAAAAATATAGCAAGGGGCTGGGGATGTGGCTCAAGCAATAACATGCTCGCCTGGCATGCGTGGGGCGCTGGGTTCGATCCTTAGCACCACATAAGATAAAATAAAGATGTTGTGTCCACCGAAAACTGAAAAAGAAATATTAGAAAATTCTCTCTCTCTCTCTTTATAAAAAAAAATATATATAGCAAAACAGCAGAGCAGGCATTGCCTGGGTCTCCACTGACTGGCCTCCACTGTGACCAACTCTCAGCCTCCGTCTACAGGCCTCTCCTCCCTCCCAGCACTGGGGATCAACCCTGTGCCTCAGAGGAGGCCAGAGGAAGTGGCTCACCCCAACTCTGCCACTGGAGGAGAGGACAGGACTTGTCTCTCTCCGTGCTGCTGTAATGGTCAACCCTTTGCACCTCTGTACACCTGCCCCAGGACCCTTCCTAGTGCTCCTGTGGACGGCAATCAGGTACAGAGGACAGGGCCAAGGCGCCGGCTCCTGAGTTCACACATGAACTAGCCCTCTGAGGCTACTTACTGGCCCATTGCCTGTGCAGAAGACGGGGACGAGAGGGAGTCCGAGAGCACTTGGTGCTCAGGGGACCGACCACCCAGACTGCTGCGGTTGGAAGCTGGACATCTGATGGCTCAGACGCAAGTCAGCATCCACAGCTTCACTGACCTCAGGTTCTTCTGGGTTCCAGCACCTCTGAGGCTGGCAGTACCCAGGGACTTGCCTCCCCTGCGCATGGCCAGCGCCGGTGCGTGGCCAGCGTCAGTGCTGCATTGGGCCCATGTGCATACTTGGGGTCTTTGAAGACATGAGTACCAGGAAACAGCGCTAGCGCACCTGATGCCCTCACTCTGGGTTTTCTTGCAAACCAACAATGGAGAGTCTCTGGAGGGCTGGGCTGGGGCTCAGTGGCAGAGCACCCGTCTAGCACCCCATAAAAATAAATAAATAAAATTAAATAAAGGTATTGTGTCCAACTACAACTAAAAAATAATAATAATAAAAAAAAGAGTCTCAGGAGACCAATAAAAGGAGGATCCAGGGAGCTGACAAACTGTGCTATGGTCTGTGACTGGGAGGGGGTGGCCAGTACTGGGCAGGAGAGATGGCCTCCCTGGGAACACAGGAAAGCCATTTCAAAGCAACCCCAGGCTGGTGTGATGGCTCATGTGCCACACTGGGTCACCACTGAGGCCTGGCAGTAGCTTAATTGGCAGCGTATTTTCTTGGAGGCTCATAAAACAATGGCACATCTAATGAGTGTTGGCATCTTAAATCTAGTGAACAGTAGCATTCAGTGGGGGCTGCCTGCTGCGGGTGTCCTGTTTGTCACTGCTGCTTCTCAGGCTGCCCGGTGCTGCCTGGCCCTGGAGCCTCTGCCTAGGAGGTCCGGGGCAGGCTGCCCAGGGCCAGGTGTCCCATCACTGAAGCCCCGACTCTGCCTGCCTGGTGGGGACAGGCAGGACCTAGGAGGAGCCAGGCCCTTCTTTGGTCGGCTCAGACGGCAGTGCCCCGGGATGTCACTTCCTGGGAAACGTCCTCTCCTCAAGTCCTTGGCCAGGGCAGAGATTGCCACAGAAATGGATGATGGCTTCACGAGTTGGTGTCCAGAAACTGGATGGACCTGTAGTAATGCCTGGGGCAGAGCCAGGCCGACAGTGGCGCCCACCCTGGGAACCTGTGGGACTGGTTTAAGGGGAAGAGACTCCTCCTGCTGTCTTTCTCAAAGGAAACCATCATTTTTTAAGCCACCAAGGTGGCTTTGAAAGGGAGCATTACCCAGGCTGGCCTCCCTGCAGGGAGAAGCGGGAGGTACCTCCAGAGAGCCGCGTCCACACACCCACTCCTGTTCACTGAGCCGGCGTGGAAGGCGCTGTAAGGAGGAGATGAGGCCTTGCCTGGGTACAAAAGGTTTATTGCTTATAAAAATAACTTAGCAAGCACAAAACAAAGTCCCCCATGTGACAGGGCTCGTTCAGTCACCTTCAGCAAACTGGGGGACTCACCCGTATTGCCAGCATGTGCCAAGGCTAGGCTGGGCGACCTCCCCTGGTGGTGCTCCGAGAAGGTCCTTCATGATAGCCATAGCTTGACAGAGAGCAGGCAGCAAGGGGTCAGGGCCAGTGTCACTCAGGGCTGCATGGGTGGGTGGGGTCACTGCCGGCAGGTGTCATGGAAGGCTTCCAGTGTTCGGAAGTCCCTCCACGTGGGGGGCAGGCCATCCTGCAGGAACTTCCCGCAGCGCTGACATGGGGCCTGGAACAGCTTTATGTAGCTTCTTAACCAGGTCTGAAAAGAGAAGGGAGGACAAATGCAACAGCCCTGGTGCTTCCCAATACCCTCCCATCAAGCCTAATGGCCCCAAGGACAGAGCCCTGGAGCTGGCTTTGGCCCCAGAGAGAAGCTGCTGAACCCACAAGGCTGTGTCAAGGGACTTTGGGTTCTGACCCCCACCCGGCCCTGAGTTATCAGCACAGAGAGGGCAACTCTCCCTGGCAGGGGGGCCCTGAGGCAGCACCAACCATGCTGCACGGAGCCTGGCAAGGACCCTCTTCTCCTGGCTTGCTGCCAGGTACGGGGCGTGGCCACATGCCGAGGGAGTCTAGGAATAGCTGACGGCTGGAGAATTCTGCATGGAGGGCACAGCGCCTTCTAATCTGATTTCTGAGGTCACTGCTCACTGTCAGGATGTGGCCTAACACTCTGGGAGGGGGTAAGTGGGGACAGCCCCAGTGCCACCAAATCACATAATAAGCAACAAACACACATTTTAATTCAGAGAGCAGAGAGCTTTCGGGCATCATCTATAAGGATGAGATGCACGTAACTCAATTCTCAAACTCAAGGAGACTCGCTACCAAAAAACCCCACCAAAACAAAGCAAAGAAGCCAAACACCCAACAGATCCAAACGCACGACAAGTGAGCCAGTTCTCACTGTGCAGGGGTGCAAGACTCTCATCAATTAACATTCTCCTGAATTATGTTGACAAGAGAAAATGGCTATCTGAAGAGGTCAGCTGAGTTCTGTGAATCCCCTGCCTTGAGCTGGGCGGTCCTCGGGATGGCAGAGTGCGGCCCATCCATGCCACCTCAGTCAGCAGGGTGGCCTGGGGGTTTCTACAGCAAGTCACGAGGAGGTCACCAGATCAGTCAGCTACACTGCTTATCCTCTGGTACTGAGCACGTTTGCATCCTCCCCAGATCCCCAAGTCAGAGCTGAAGGGAATGGACGTCCCAGAGTGTGAGACTAAAGCAGGCTTCCCTCTACTGGGTGGCTGCTGGCTGCCTGCCCTCTTGCATGTGGAGGAAGCCCTCATGGACTGCTCCTTGTTTACACTCCTAACATTAGGAAGCCAAGTGATGAGCTGCGCTTGTCTTCTGAGCAGTGCGTGACAGGCTTTCTAGGAAGCCCGCCCGTGGAGGCCCACGTGACAGGATAGATGGGACCAGAGACACCCACCTGGCTGTCAACAGTGATTTGCACTCACTAAAGGGAAGTCTGAGGGGGTTTCTACCAGGCAGCCTTTCCAGCAGAAGACAAAAGGCAGTTCTGTGGACAGTGAAAGATGGAGCCTAGTGACCCAGCGCACTAGGCCATGTCAGTGCGAGGCGAAAGAGCTGGCAGGGTCTGCCTCGGACACACAACGCACTGTCACCCCTGGTCAGGCCAATGCCAGGGAAAGGTCCTGACTGTGGCCTTTGCCCAGAGCTGCGGTGTGAGTACTCCCACTGGGTTCCATTTCAAGCCAGAAGAGTTTGAATAGGCGCTACAAACCTCTGAACACCCCTCAAGAGCTGCCAGGCTGCCGGGGGCTGCCCTCACTGCAAGCTGCTCTGAAATCCGAGAAAGAACTGTGTTGGGTGCAGCCAGCCGAGACTCACCACTGCAAGGCTGGGGCCAGGCACAGGACCTGGGTGGGGCAGGTCAAGAGCCCAGTGAAGACCCTACTAGGTCCATGTGAGAAACTTTTAGAGGATCCTTCTGGGACCACCTGTCCAGCCATGACAGGGAGCCCGCGGCGCCATGTCCCACCCGGCTCCCATGGCAGCCCCCGAGCCAAGGGTGCAGCTTCCCCCCTCAGCTGTGTGTGCACACTCCAAGGCTCCTGAAGCCACTTACCATGAAGGACCTGACCACAACGTCTGGCATCTGGGGCAGCTGGTAGTGGAGCAGGGCAGTGGTGGCATGGTCTGTCACCTGAAAATGAAGGACAGGGGCTGGAGTCAGCAGTCAGAGATGGCCAGTGGGATGGACGCCTCCTTTTGTAGGCACCAGCCCTGCTTTTGGATGTCTCTCAGAGAAAAGGACATCTGAAATAAAATCTTGAGTAGGAAAATTAGTTAGCAGAGTTGGGGGCAGAGAGGGGAGGAGGTGTGTGTAGGCAGAAAGGACAGCCCTCCACAGAAAACCCAGACAGGCTGGAGCGCTAGGGGTGGGAAGGCAGTGGCCTGAGGCCAACGGGGACAGGGCAGGGCAGACCAGAGGGCGGACAGGCCTCCCTGCTCCCGACACCAGGATGCAGGCAAGGACCACTCTCTCAGCAGCACGCAGGTTCTCCTCTTGCTCCCTTAGATTTTCTCTGTCTCCTAACTTGTAGCCACGTGGGCCTGGTGGTCAGGGAACTGCTGATTTCTGAGAACCCTTCCTCAGGTCTCATGGTGGCTACCTTCCCAGGTGAATCCAGTACTTCGTGGGCCACACCCACATCTCCACTCCATGGGCCAGGAAACTGCCACAGCAGTTTCATGACTAGTGGACAGGGTACTGCTTCCTGACCTT